ATTGCCGCACTATTTACAATAGCCAGGATCATGGAAGCAACCTAAATGCCCATCGTCAGATGAATAGATAAAGAAGATGTGGTACATAAATACAATGGAATGTTACTCAGCCATAAAAAGGAATGAAATTCGGCCATTTGTAGAGACGTGGATGGACCAAGAGACTGTCATACAGAGGGAAGTAAGTCAGAAAGAGAAAAACAAATATAGTATATTAACACATATATGTGGAACCTTGAAAAATGGTACAGATGAACTGGTTTGCAAGGCAGAAATAGAGACACAGATGTAGAGAACAAACGTATGGACACCAAGGGGAGAAAGCAGGGGTGGGGTGGTGTGATGAATTGGGAGATTGGGATTGACATATATACACTAATATGTATAAAATAGATAACTAATAAAAAAGAAACAAAAACAAAACAAAACAAACAAAAAAAGCAACAGTAAACTCTCGGACAAGAGAGTCCAGGGAGGAGAGGCCACAGAAAAAAAAAAAAGGAACTCTAGAGAAGTTCCAAGTTAAAAGCTGGATGAACTCAGAGAGCTGGGCCTTCCTTGCCTCTCTCTTATGGAAAGTCTTGTGGAAGCTTCACAGGAGTGATGTTCTCAGCATCGTCACTCACGCTTCACAGCTACAATTCACCTTTGGGCACAGGCATCAAGGTAAGTACAGTAGCCACACATTATGGCCCCCTTCCTCTTTACTGAATATCAGTATTTGCTGAAAAGAAACATTCATCCCAGCTCGCGCCCACAGGCAGCTTAGCGCATCGGCCCATTCACAGCGCTTCTCTGCACGAGGCCTGGAGGAGCTGGCCCCACCTAACACACTTCATGTTCCAAAGCCAGTATTACAGCACATTCTACCCCTACTGGGTGACCTGAAGAAACACCCGAGATTGGTGTATATGTGGGGTATATGATGGGAAGTAAACTCAGGTCCCAACAAGCAGGCCTGTGGCTCCTTGAAGAGGGGAAGAAGAGGTAACAGAGTGCTAAGGTTTGGGCCACCTGGTCTTTCATCTCTCTACCAACCTCGTGCTAAGGATACCTCCCGCCCCCAAATAACAGCAGTACACATTTTGGCATTTACTATGGGCTATGCACGCTACCTACATTCAGTCCGCTGAATTACCAGAGAGCCCCAGGACCTGGTCATTGGTCTTCTTACACATCTACATCCTCCCTCGCTGACCTCATCTAGTTCCATGGCTGGAAATACCTCCATGCTGACAATTCTCAAACCTGTATCTCTAGCTTCATAGTGCAAACGGCCTTCTTGACACCTTGCCTTGGATGTGCAATAAACATCCCAATCTTAACATGTCCTAAATCAAACTGTTAATTTCTGCCCTATTCCGGGAAATGTTCTATATTCCAAATCGAATGACTTCCCCCCATTTTTATTATTATAACCCTAGTCCAAGGAATATCTCTGTGCTTGCCTGCTGCCTTCTGTTTTCTCCCACATGTTCTAAAATGTAAATTATATTATCTCCCTGCTTAATTCCCTCCAATGGAGTCCCACTGGATGCAGAGTAAAATCCAATCCAGGCAATCTATCAAGATTGCCTCTGTAGCAGGGCTTTGAACTTGCTCTTCTCTCCGCCTGGAACTGTTCTTCCTTATTGTTACATGACAAACCCCTTTTCAACATTCAGCATCTTCACTCCACTGACACCTTCTCAAAGAGACCTTCAAGGTCTCCCATATCTTATTTTTGTGCTACCGTCTGCGTTCTCCTGACTAACAGTGCCTGGTAAGTAGCAGGAGCTCAAAGGACTGCTGCAGAATAAATACTCTTCATGAAAGTCCTGTGGGGAATACTCTTAATGAAAGTCCTGTGGGGAAAGAGTTACTATCCCCATTTTGCAAACGAGGAAGGTGAGGCTTAGGGAGGTTATGTAATTTGCCCAAGATGAGAGAGATGATCTATGCCCAGAACTTGAGCTAATATGTTAACTTTCTGTTCTTTTGGGGGAGGGAAGAATAGTACTTAGAGGGCTCTTTTGGATAATCTTCACATCTGTAAGTGAGAAACAGGTCTATTTATCTGGATCCCCAAGGCAGCAGCTTTCCAATAGCTTGCTTCTTGGATTACAGGGAGAAGGGTGGCAGTACAAGAGGGCTTAGGGATTCTTCTTTTGATTAGACCCAAGGGTCTGAAACAGAAATAAGGTTAACATCATCCTGTAGCACCTGTGGTCACCAGTTTAGAATCCAATGTGAGGACTGTGCTCTAGTTGAAAAAGGGCTGACTTTTTTTTCTGCTATTTAAAGACACCACTGAGTATTTTGGGGTGTGAAAGTTTCATATTAAAATAATTATTTCAGTAAATATTACTAAGGAACGATTTTTGAAAAACTGTGAGAAAAAATATCTATGAATGCACAATCGGAATGCACATGTGAACACACTGTGTTTAAAAAAAAAAAGCTGGTAAAACAGAAAAGGTTGAGAATGAGGATAAAAAGAAGAGAAACAGGTAGTTAAGCAGTATTGTAACTACAAGGGTAGGCTGTCCCTCCAGAGTAGATGGAAACAACGGAGGCGGGGTGCTGAAGTTGTTCCTTCAAGTCTTCCAGGTATGATAAGAGATTAGCAAAGACTGTGACCATTAACTAATTCCACCCCTTTCTCCGCTGTAATTAATTTGGCATCTGATCTTTGCTACTCTTGTTTTGTCAAATGAACATAATTACTGCCATCTAGAAAGAATGACAGATCATCACCAAGTCGGCTGATACTAAGGTTAATAAGCCTACATTTTAGGGTAAACTTTTACCTATGGGGAATCTACAAACCTTGAGAGGCTATCACTGGCTTTCTCTCACCTTGCTTTACACAGGGATGGCTTTGTAATTTCCTTTGCTTCAGATCAAAGTGCATTTCTCTAGATTTATTTGGGATATCCAATTTTGACATAAAAATACAATATGAAAAAAATTCTGTGAAACAGAGCATGTGCAAAGCTTCTCCAGGTGGGGTGTTTCTACCCCAACATGGCCAGGGAAAGCTTTCTAAGGTCAAAGGTAAGTGATATATCAAGAAGAAACCCCACAGTGGAAACTAGTGGGCAAGTGCACCAGATTCCCCTAAAGTAGCATCTTTCTCTGTAGGAGAGTGAATGCCGCCTCTGTTTCTTTATTGCCAAACAACTCTATAGAGTCTTGCCTGAGGAGTCTGAAACTGAACAGTAACCCTGAGTCCATTAGCTCCACCTCCCCTAGAAGAAAACCCTGCTCCTCCTCTTGCCCAACCTGGGCCAATTATTAGGCTACAGTCTAGACAAACACCCAAGCTAGAAACCTGGAGTCATACTCTCAGGGGCTGGACACTGGACAATGAAAGAAATACTTCTCTTTGCCTTTATATGGGCAAGGCCTCATGCTAGGTCATAACTCACTTCAAGAACACAAAACCCTGAGTCTCTGGAGGCTTCATAATACAATACAAAGATACATATAATTTCAGCTATTTTCAGGGGTAACATTGTATTTTGGGGCGTTTTATCTGTTAAAATAAACATTGCTCCATATTTGCTTAGAAAAGAATAAAAAGCTATGGGGTATTCTAAATTAGAAAACATCTTAACAAAAGATTAAAATGAGAGACTCTGAAAGAAAAAAACTAGCCTGGGATTATAAAATTAAAAGCACAGGAGGTCTTCCCTGGTGGTGCAGTGGTTGGGAGTCCGCCTGCCAATGCAGGGGACACGGGTTCGTGCCCCGGTCCGGGAAGATCCCACGTGCCGTGGAGTGGCTGGGCCTGTGAGCCATGGCCGCTGAGCCTGCGTGTCCGGAGCCTGTGCTCCGCAACGGGAGAGGCCACAACAGTGAGAGGCCCGCGTACCACACACACACAAAAAAAAGCACAGGAAATGATGCTTCTAGGACTCAAATTAATCCCAGTAACTGGAGGCTTGGGTTTTAATGCATACAATGGGGGAAAGTATGGAAAGGACCAAGTAGAATTTCTGAAAGGTATAGCCACCGACATTAAGACTTGATAAATGAGTTAAACAGTAGGTTAGACACAGCTGAAGAGATGTGATGTAAACTGAAAGAAGAATCTGCCAAGAAAGGAGACAGCAGTGGAGAAGGGCATAATAACAGGAACAGATTAATTCACATCTCTCATCATTTTTATGGTATATATGAATTAGTGTTTTCATCATTATTCCCATCAAATTTAGTTCTTTAATTCCACAGATACCTCACTGGATTAAATGAGATCATGCACATAAGATGTTAATACAATGCTTGGCATCAAGTAAGTTCTCTATAACTGCTAGCTGTTCTTTCTATTGTTCTAAGGGGATTTGAGCAGGCCACTTGGCTTCTCTATACCTCAGCTTCCTCAGCTGTAAGATGGGGATAAGAGTTGCCCTGACTATCTACCAGGGTTGTTACAGACAGCTAATAGGAGGATGAATGTGAAACTGGTTTTTTTGTTTGTTTGTTTTGTTTTTTTCGTACGCAGGCCTCTCAGTGCTGTGGCCTCTCCCGTTGTGGAGCACAGGCTCCGACGCACAGGCTCAGCGGCCATGGCTCATGGGCCCAGCCGCTCTGCGGCATGTGGGATCCTCCTGGACTGGGGCACAAACCCGTGTCCCCTGCATCGGCAGGCAGACTCTCAACCACTGCACCACCAGGGAAGCCCTGAAACTGTTTTTTAAATTGTGGAGAGTAACAGCAGTTGAGGGGTGGGCTCGGGGAGATGTTGGGGACTGAGATAATGATGTATAATTTCCCTCTCTCTCCATCAGAGCAGAGTTAATTGGGCCAAACTTATGGGTCTGTGTGCTCCACGGCTCTGTGATCACAGCACCTTCCTGAGTACTTGATTTTATGTTCAGCACTGTGCTTATTAAGCCCATTACCACCACCTAGCCACATTCTTCATACTGAAATCCATACTTGACATTTCTAAGAGTGATTTATGATTTTAAAATTTTTAGTATAAGCTCAAGAACTTTCTAATCTTTATCCCATACCTCTTCGGACGGTAACTGGAGACTGCACAGCCTTTCTCACTGCCACTTTGGCTCCACCAGCTTTCTTCTGTATGGTAAAAGTAGCAGTTCCTATAAAGACAGGCGAACTTCTTTAGCCTTCCATATGCACCTTTCATGTTGTAAGTTCTTTGAGGACAGAAATTTTCTGCTTAGTAGGGGCCCAATAAATGGTGGTTGATTTGAACCAAGAAAGCAAAACAAAAGTGCAGATGAAGGAAGGGAAAGTCTACTTTGAGACTTGGTATCCTTATAGCACAACCACAGACCTTTCTCATATGGCAAATGTGCCCTGGCAACTGGAAAAGCCAGGCATATAAGCCTATTTCCAGTAAACACCTAGACAAAATGTGAAGAGAATGATCAACTAAGGTTTCTTAAATTTCAGGATTAGTAGCAACTATTCACTGTTTACGTTATGCAAAATGTTTTATTTATGATCCTCAACAGCTCTATGTGGTAGGATTTAAAAAACATATCTGAGAGCACAAAGTAAGTGGCAGAGCTGGGCTATGAACCTAGGCCTGGATGATTTCAAAGGCTAGACCTATTATTTATGCTTATAATGCCTCTCAGATACTTACCATATAGTCCTTATATATTGTTTTTGACAGAATTAAACACAAAACAAGCAAAAAAGAAAGAAAGAGAACTCTTAAATTTAAGTTTGTGCACGGGGCTGAAGAAGTTAGCCAAAAACTGTATACTGCTTTATAGAAGACAGATAGTTGGGGCTTCCCTGGTGGCACAGTGGTTAAGAATCCGCCTGCCAATGAAGGGGACATGGGTTCGAGCCCTGGTCCGGGAAGATCCCACATGCCACGGAGCAACTAAGCCCATGCGCCACAACTACCAAGCCCGTGCTCTAGAGCCCGAGAGCCACACCTACTGAAGTCTGCGCACCTAGAGCCCGTGCTCCACAACAAGAGAAGCCACCTCAATGAGGAGCCGGTGTACCACAACAAAGAGTAGCCCCTGCTCGCCGCCAACTAGAGAAAGCCCGTGCACAGCAATGAAGACCCAACCAGCCAACAATAAATTAATTTAATTCGATAAATAAGTAAAAGACAGCAACATATAGTCAAACTCAAAGAATTTTCAGGAAAACTTCTTTTACAGAAGAACTGCAGGGAATTTTTAAATCTTAATGGATCCTCACTTCCCACCTGTGCAACAACTAAACTTGCCCCAGCGGGCTCATGTTGTCTGTATCACTGACTGGAAGAGCCCGGTTTCTCCCACTGCCGCTGAATGCTATCAGGGGAATGGCTGGGTTCTGGATGTGGCAGAGGCAGTCATGGAGGTCAGTGTGTTCACAATCTCTCAAGTTGCCTCTCCTACCTTTGCCTTGGAGGCCCAGGAAGCTGAGTGACAGGTCAGCTCAGATAATAGTTAGGCATATGGTGTTCTATGACACAGTATAAATACTACAATACCTGCCCATTAATACTCTTGAACAATAATTAGTTTATAAATAGCTATTTTTAAGCATAAAAGCTAAATAGCCTTTTTTCCCATTTATCCAGTTATTCAATTATTTCATTTGTTCAATGTGAAGGGGTAACACAAGATGTAGAGAGTGTTGCTACCCTCAAAACATTTAGTCTATCCTGGGACATAACCAAGTTTATAAGTAACTACAACATAAGACCTGTTGCAGTAGTGCCTCAAGAAGGGCAGAAACACATGACTGAGGGTTCAGAGGACAAAAAAAATAACTATATTAGTTACCAATGCTACTATTTGTCTCTAATATTCACAACTACCATGCAAGTTAAGTATCAGCCAGTTTAAAAATGAAAATATGGATGTTAAAATTCACTACACTGGGTTGGAAGAGCTAAAGAATTAAAATTAGGGATGTCTTCCAAGACACGGAGGGGAGGCATTTAAGGTATAAGGGAAATTTTCAAGGCAGGAATGGGAGCACACAGCACGTGTCTGGAAAACAAGCCTGCAAATGCTATGGATCATCCGGATTATATGCGGAAAGGAGGCTAAGGAGGCAGAAGGGGAGGACACCTTAAAGGCCAGGGAGAGGGTTTGGACTTATCTGTGTGGGGTACGGGTCACTGAGGACTTCTGAGTCCCTGGGCAGCAGGAGCATCTCATCAAGCATAGCTCAGCAAGGACAGGTAAGGGGACCAAAGAGGGCCAAGGCCTCAGCCCAGCCAAGTGCAAGGTAACAATACAGGCCTGACATTGGACAGGCCCAAGAAAAAGACGTATTTCCACATAATCCAAGATTTTTCCATCTGACATTAAGAAACCATGATTCAAGTTTAAAATCTTTTCCAATTTTGGATATTTCTTTTATTTAATTTTGGTAAATGTATTAGGTATAAAATAAAACTTAAAAAAAATTTTAAATGGTTACTATTTTGAAATTCTAGTTTAGAAAAGAACAGTGTTTTCTTATTGTAATTCATCAATCAAAAGCAAGAGTTAACCAAGCTATAAAGTTCCATCAAAAAGACTGCAATATATGGATACTTCAATTTTCTCAGTTAACGTGCATACTAAAGTTCAGGTTCTAGGTGTGGAGGCTCTAGACCCAGACTGGGTTTAAATCTAGACTCTACCACTTCCTAGATATCTGATTTTAGGCAGTTACTGCAACTTTCTCTGCCTTGGCTTTCTCTTGTTTAAAATGGGAACATAATAGTACCTTTCTCACAGAGTTGTAATTCAGGTGCTTAAGTGGAACCTGGCACATTAGTTATTATTATGCATTCTTAGCTGTACATATGTATACTACATGTTAACTATGATTATACATTTTTAAACAAATAAGTATGTTTTACTTTAGTAATCAAAACCCACATATGGCAAAATGAACTAAAGGAAGGCTAGTAATAAATAACAAATACTATATCTTCAAATGTGGCAAAGAATATTCGAAAAGGGTAAAAACGATACTATTTCAACCTGTGCCTGTTCTATTCCTACTCTACTATATATCCATCCTGAAATCTCTCAGAACTTGATTTGTAAAAATGCCTACATCTTTAGCCACACAAAAGAAACAGATTCCCAAATAAGTCATATCACACAGAACTGACTGTTCAAATTCTATTACAAAAAGGCCATTAGTTTAAAAAGATTCCTAGGGTCTTCTCATTTCAAAGCAATAGAACAAAATCCCAGTACCGCTAACTCTTTATCAATCCCTTGCGTTCTGTTGAAATGGGAACTGCTTCTCACTAAGATTTACAACTTTTACTAATGAAAACACAACTCTGGAGACAAGAAAGAATAGGTCCAAATTACACAAGATAAAAAAGAAGTTTTCAGTCTTACCACATGGCCAAGGTGAGCCTTGAGTTTGCCCCAAAAGTCTCCCCTTTTGGGTATAACTTGGTTTGATGGATATATATCTGACTTTTCCAGGTCTATGTATTGGAAAATTGTGATCATGTCGATTCTCTCTAAAGTAGAAATTACACAGTTATTATATTCCTAGAATCTTCTATCAGTGATAATCTACAATATTTCAAAAGATGTAAATTCCAGCTCAGATTAATACATTCATTTTGTACCTCAGTGATGCATTCAGTGTATAATTCTCCTCATATCTCAAGCTTCACTCATTTTTTTTCCAAAGAAATTGTTTTTATCTCTCTATCCATTTCAAATGCTCTATACATTTGGCAGTTATTCATGTATTAAATACCATGCATTATTCTACGAAATATTCGAGGGGAGTCTCTGCTCTTTTGATTACACCCCAAATTACACACACACAAGTAATCTGGTTACGTCTAGCTTTGTGTCGGGTAGCATTTCCTCTAGGCTCTTAAGTTACATGATTATGTTTACAATCCTAATCAATTATTTTGCCAAAGGTGGTAATTTTTAACAACACTATACTGTCAATTCGTTTCCTCCTTATGGGTCATTAACAAATATAATTTTGTGTTTGTTTGCCATATACAAGAAACTTTACACTTGGGTACTTTTCTTTAGTATCTATGTTTAATTAATTCTTGCCTAATGAACTAATATCCAAACCTAATGCAGGTCATTAATTTAAGAAGAAACATATAACAATATCTACAACTGAATCAGCAATAACTGGGTGGGAAGATGAGGAAGAAGTGGTAAAGCTGGTGATGACTATCTGTTTCTACAAGAATGGAGCCAAGCAGAGAAAGAGGGGAGCAGTTAGGAGGCAAATTACAGAAGGAATTATTAACAAAAACTACAGAAAAGAAGAAAACAGGATTGAATGGATATAAAAATTGTATTAGGCATACAGAAGTGCTTTGTTATATCTTAATTAGACATTTAATGCCATTTTTGTCTTTTTCCTTGGTGATTAAAACTAATGAAGACCTCATAATTATGGCACCATTTTCCCCTTCACTTTATTATCATAATTCAGAACAAGTCCACTGAACTTGAGTCACAACAGCGCTTCACACTTATCATGCCTGACATTATCTTGCCAAATGACGTGCCAAACCTTGTCTTACCCTCTTGGAGAAAGGGAGCGTTGCCTTCTGGGAATTTGAGCAGGTCTGGGTTTTTTAGGCAATGGTTTCTGTGCAGTTGCTGGAAGCTGTACTGATTCAGATAACAGTTCATTCATCAGACTGTATGCCTGTGAGATTCGACGACTATAGTGGTCAGAGAGTAGCAATCTTTAGAGAAAGAATTAAACAACATTTAGTAAAAGAGTCACTTTCAGTTCATATTTCTAGAGGGAACATAGTGTTCAAAGACCACCTAGCATTTATTTTTTTCAATGCATTTCAATACAAATTCAAATTTCAGATTTCCGAGGTATTATTAAAGGCACCTGTAGTTATGGCCTTTGGGGTATTTTCAAAATGCACATACATATCTGGATTGGGGGAGGGAGGGGAATAGCAGAAATAAAGTATAAAAATTGAATGGAATAAATAATATTTGAAAGCAAATTCCGAAAAAGGCTATTGGAGTCTAATTATTTTCCTTGCAGTTAGCTACCATAATTTTCTGTTTATCAACAAAAATGGGACTACTATGCAAACCGGAATCCCTAAGGCATTATCTATGGCCTTGAGTGAGCAAGCAAGAGAGAGAAGGACCAGGGTGCAACCACCAAAATCACCTGTCTTTTTCGTGCTTCATCTTTTGTCTCAGCCTGATTTCCCTTGAAGTCATGTAAAACTGCACAAGAAATAACCAGTTAGTTCATTACTGTTCAGTTCAAATAATTAAACCATTATGACCCTTGGAAAACATGAAAATTCCACTAATATATTTTAATAGGAAGTTAAAACATAATTTTGTTATTTCGTAAACAGTACAAAACACTGTCATAATTGATGAAGCTTCCTACCCCAGCACAAAATATGAAAATGTTAAAGCATCATGTAATTAAAATAAAATCCAATTTAATAAATGGAATGCAAAGTCTATTTTAGTAGTTAAACTAATGTATTTTCTCAAAAGGAGAGATCCTTATCAGCTGCATTTAAAATGGAAAATAGGAACATTTTAAGGATGGAGACACCCATACTTTGTCTTATGATTAATCTCACCAAGAGCTTGGATGATAAAAGCAGAAATGAGTCAGACATTTAAAACCATCACTTTAATGTTTTAAAATGTTTACCAGAAACCTACTATAGTGGGTTCATTGTGACTTGTAAACTCCTCAAAATGTACGCACCATGGGGTAAACTGGCCAACATCAGCTATATATGTCTTATTCCAGAACATTAAGAGTTACTGTTGAATTACTAATGAGGGTAAGTCCTTTCACATACAATTGTGTATACAAAAACGTACGCGCAGAAGTGGATTCACTTTCTCAAGGTCCTATACAGTAGTCAACAATAAATTTAAGGTCTTATTGATTTCTGATAAAAATGAAAACGAAAATTTTAATTACATTAACCTCTCACTAGTTCCATACCTTTACCCAAACAGAAGCTAAAAATAAACAATTATCTGCGGTACTGAAGGAGATGTCACAAAGTCTATGAACAAAACAGTCCCAATGCCCTCAGTTCATTTATTCTAAATTTGGATACAATTCCAACCATCTGGGGAATCTGCTTGGCTGAAAGGGAGGGTGATATGCAAACTCATCCTCCGTGGGGTAGAAGAGCACATATATACACACACACTGTAAGATTCTGGTCTTCGAGTAGCCCTGAAGGTCATTACCATGTCCCCAGAGCTATCAACAAAATGTCATCTAACATCAGCATGCTCTCTCCAGACACAGGTAAGTAAATTACACTCTTTAAATAATAGTTCACCTACTTTTGCACCATTTGGTGCTGAAATGTGACAACCTTATCTGGAAAATTCACTTACAGAATATGTTCTCCTCATGATGCTGAAAAAAGATGAAGCGCTATTATATTTTATTTCAGATGACAAAGTAAAAGATAAACTATAATCCAAGTGTAATCTAAATGTGAGTTTCACAGTTATGTAATCATCAAAGGAACACTGCTTTGTTTCACCTTCTGAAGAAAAATACTTCTGACCTGGCCATGGTGATGTCCATAGTCAGGGCTCAGGAAACGAATGTTGACAGTTTAAAGGACAGTTGAAACACACACACAGAAGTGCCACTTTTCTGTTGGTTCATAACTGGACCATACTTTAGTAGATTTTTTTGTAGATAACTTATGGAGAGAAAATTGATTTTTAAAATAGCTTTACTACACACACAGTTGTTCAACTGCCACTGACTTTCATTGAAAATTAAGGGAGTGACTCCAACTGGTCACCCAACCCCTCGACCTCTTCATTTGGTTAAAATGCTAGAGCCACGGGACTTCCCTGGCTGTCCAGTGGTTAAGACTCTGTGCTCCCAATGCAGGGAGCCTGGGTTCAATCCCTGCTCAGGGAACACCATCCCACACGCAGCAACTAAGCGCCCGCACGCCACAACTAAGACCTGGTGCAGCCAAATAAATTAATTAATAAAAAAATAAATAAAATGCTAGAGCCATAATTAGCCTCAGGGAGAAAAAATAATCTAAAATAGTTCAATAGAACACGGTTTGTAGAATTCCCTGCTACATTTTGTTAAGGTAATTTCTTAACTTTTCCAGATGTAAGTAAAATGCTGACTTTTCTATCAAACAAAAAGATGCATCCACATTATGTTAATCCTTTTCTTGAATACTTACCAGGAAAAAAATTACACATATTGTGATAATTCCATTACCCTTGATACTGCAGACTTACTGGGTTGCTCCTGGGGCAGAAAGGATGATGTTCTTGCCCTCTCTTTTCTGCTAGCTGATTTAAGTACTCTGCCATTCTTTCTTTTCGTTTTCTTTTCATCCAGACTTGAATCTCTTTTCTCTCCTTCTCAGTTCTTTGTGGACGTCTACCAGAGGAATGCTGAATCCTAAGAAATTTAACCAGCAGGGCATCACCTGATGTTAAATTTGTTATGGAGATGAAAAGTATCACAACTAAATACTGTTCCTCTGGACAGATTCTGCCCCATCTTGAAGAGTCATACACTCATGATGTCTAATCAACTTGCTACAACCTGTCCCATGAAATCCACTGACAATGATCTCAGGTCACTGACAGCCTCTTCAGTCTTCATCTTACTGCACTTCTCTATAAATTTGGTACAACTGGCTTCTCCTTCCTGCTTTAAACTCTCTCTTACCTGGGTCTTTCTCTAACTCTCAAAACATGATGCAGCCTCTTAAACTGGTGCCTTTCTTCTCTGCGCACCATGAGATATTAATGTCTTTAAAGGTTCTGGTTTGGATTTCTTCACTTATAACCTATTTCTGGACTATCTCAATCACTTCCAAAACTTATACTACAGAGATGACTTCTAAACTGATACTTCTCTGGATCTGGCCTCACGTTCGTGCCCAGGCCGCACCTCCCAAGGACCAACCCGAGCTAACAACCGAGCATGGCAGGGATGTTGTGGCTGGCCCCGATCTACAGAGACAGGACTCCTCTGATGGGCGATTCTGGCATGATGTCTCACCACTGACCCAGCTGAAACACGCTTAGAGCTATACTATACTCTGGGATTGCTTACCCAACCCTCTCTCCTTCACAGGCAGGGGTCAGAACTGCATTGGGGTCTGATGCCTCGCCCCACTTCTGATTTTTCCCTTCACAGGCATTTCTCTCAGTAAATCTTTTGTACATCTAATCCCATCTTGGCTTCTACACAAAGAGTACTGAGAGTGGCCCAAAAAAACAGGTGTTGTAGACGGGGATTTGGGGCAGACTCATCACCAAGTATGCGAAGAAGACACCATCCTAACTGGAAGATGGGTCATGCATACATACGATGTGGCTGATACTGAACACCTGCTTTCCTTCTGACAGACTGGACTCTTTGTACATGCCAGGCAGAGGGTACCCTACCCAACCAGCCCCCAATTAATCAATAAGCCAAAAGGCATATGTATCCCAAAGAAGCATTAGTAGAAGAGGCAGCCTTTATCCTATCAGGAACGAGTTCTGGGCCCAGGAAAGGCTACAAGGAAAAACATTTTAACCTAATGTTCCAAGGAAAAGCTATTTAAAATGTATTCTAAGGGTTCATATTTAGGGTAAAGTACTATGAAATAAATCATTAACCCTTCTAAGAAGAAACAGGATTAAATCTATGTTGTACTCAGGGTGATGAGACCTTGGGAAAACTCAAAGGATACAGATGTGCTGTATTAGATAAATAAACCAGTCTATATATTGGAGGAGGGGGAGGAATGACATACACACCACAAAATGTATTTACGAAGAAAAAAAATCTATTTTAAGCTTTAATTCGTTTCTTTAAAAATGAGAAAATTAGAAATCAATTAGAAATCAAATACAGGAAAAACAAACTGTAAAAAACAAAAATACATGGAGGCTAAACAGTGCACTGCTAAATAACCAAGAGATCACTGAAGAAATCAAAAAAATTAAAAAATACCTAGAAACAAATGACAACGAAAACACAATGATCCAAAACCTATGGATGCAGCAAAAGCAGTTCTAAGAGCGAAGTTTACAGCAATTCAAGCTCACCTCAAAAAACAAGAAAAACCTCAAATAAACAATCTAACCTTACACCTAAAGCAACTAGAAAAAGAAGAACAAAGAAAACCCAAAGTTAGTAGAAGGAAAGAAATCATAAATATCAGAGCAGAAATAAATGAAATCGAAAAAAAGAAAACAATAGCAAAGATCAATAAAACTAAAAGTTGGTTCTTAGAGAAGATAAACAAAATTTATAAACCTTTAGCCAGACTCATCAAGAAAAAAAGGGAGAGAACGCAAATCAATAAAACTAGAAATGAGGGCTTCCCTGGTGGCGCAGTGGTTGAGAGTCCGCCTGCCGATGCAGGGGACACGGGTTCGTGCCCCGGTCCGGGAAGATCCCACGAAGGCAGGAAGAAAGGTCAATGAAATTAACTGGTTCTTTGAAAAGATAAAATCAACAAGCTTTAGCTTGACTAATCAAGAAAAAAAGAGATCAGCCTCAAATAAATAAAATCAGAAATGAAAGAGAAGTTACAACTGATACCACAGGAATGCAAAGGATCATAAGGGACTACTACAAGCAACTGTATGCCAACAGAATGGACAACCTGGAAGAAATGGACAAATTCTTGGAAAGGTATAACTTTCCAAGATTGAACCAGGAAGAATTAGAAAATATAAACAGACCAATCACAGGTAACGAAATTGAAACTGTAATTAAAAATCTTCCAACAAACAAAAGTCCAGGAAGAGATGGCTTCACAGGCAAATTCTATCAAACATTTTGAAAAGAGTTTTAACACTTATCCTTCTCAAACTCTTCCAAAATATAGCAGAGGGAGGAACACTCCCAAACTCATTCTACGAGGCCACCATCACCCTGATACCAAAACCAGACAAAGATGTCACAAAAAAAGAAAATTAGAGACCATTATCACTGATGAACATAGATGCAAAAAGTCCTCAACAAACTACCAGCAAACAGAATCCAGCAACAGATTAAAAAGATCATACACCGGGCTTCCCTGGTGGCACAGTGGTTGAGAGTCTTGCCTGCCGATGCAGGGGACACGGGTTCGTGCCCCGGTCCGGGAAGATCCCACATTCCGCGGAGCGGCTGCGCCCGTGAGCCATGGCTGCCCCCGCCTTGGGGAAGGCCACAGCAGGGAGAGGCCCGCGTACTGAAAAAAAAAAAAAAAAAAAAAAAAAAAAAAAAAAAGATCATACACCATGATGAAGTGGGATTTATCTCAGGGATGCAAGGACTCTGCAATATATGCAAAAAAATCAATGTGCTAGACCATATTAACAAATTAAAGAATAAAAACCATATGATCATCTCAGTAGATGCAGGAAAAGCTTTTGACAAAATTCAACACCCATTTATGATAAAAACTTTCCAGAAAGTGGGACTGGGGGAATCTAACTCAACATAATACAGGCCATATACAATACACCCACAGCAAACATCATTCTCAATGGTGAAAAACTGAAAGCATTTCCTCTAAGATCAGGAACAAGACAAGGATGTCCACTCTCGCCACTCTTATTCAACATACTATTGGAAGCCCTAGTCACAGCAATCAGAGAAGAAAAAGAAATAAAAGGAATACAACTAGAAAAGAAGAAGTAAAACTGTCACTGTTTGCAGATGACATGATACTATACATAGAAAATCCTAAAGATGGCACTAGAAAACTACTGGAACTAATCAATGAATTTGGTAAGGTTGCAGGATACAACATTAATGCACAGAAATCTCTGGCATTCCTATACACTAACAATGAAAGATCAGAAAGAGAAATTAAGGAAACAATCCCATTTACCATCACAATGAAAAGAATAAAATACCTAGGAATAAACCTACCTAAGGAGGCAAAAGACCTGTACTCAGAAAACTATAAAACACTGATGAAAGAAATCAAAGATTACATTAACAGATGGAGAAATATACCATGCTCCTGGATTGGAAGAATCAATGTTGTGAAAATGACTATACTGTCCAAAGCAATCTATAGGTTCAAAGCAACCCCTATCAAATTACCAATGCCATTTTTCACAGAGCTAGAACGAGAAATTTTACAAATTGTATGGAAACACAAAAGACCCCAAATAGCCAAAGCAATCTTGAGAAAGAAAAACGGAGCTGGAGGAATCAGGCTCCCAACTTCAGACTATACTACAAAGCTACAGTAATCAAGACAATATGGAACTGGCACAAAAACAGAAATGCAGATCAATGGAACCCACGCACATATGGTCACCTTATCTTTGACAAAGGAGGCAAGAATAGACATGGAGAAAAGACAGCCTTTTCAATAAGTGGTGCAGGGAAAACTGGACAGCTACATGTAAAAGAATGAAATTAGAACACTCCCTAAAACCATACACAAAAATAAACTCAAAATGGATTAAATACCTAAATTTAAGGCCAGACACAATAAAACTCTTAGAGGAAAACATAGGCAGAACACTCTAGGACATAAATCACAGCAAGATCCTTATTGACCCACCTCCTAGAGTAATGAAAATAAAAACAAAAATAAACAAATGGGACCTAATGAAGCTTAAAAGCTTTTGCAAGGCAAAGGAAACCATAAACAAGATGAAAAGACAACCCTCAGAATGGGAGAAAATATTTGCAAACTAATCAACTGACAAAGGATTAATCTCCAAAATATACAGCAGCTCATGTAGCTCAATATTAAAAAAAAACAACCCAATCCAAAGATGGGCGGAGAACCTAAATAGACATTTCTCCAAAGAAAATGTACAGTTGGCAAACAAATACATGAAAAGATGCTCTCAACATCACTAATCATTAGAGAAATGCAAATCAAAACGATAGTGAGGGGCTTCCCTGGTGGCGCAGTGGTTGAGGGTCCGCCTGCCAATGCAGGGGACGCAGGTTTGTGCCCTGGTCCGGGAGGATCCCACATGCCGCAGAGCCGCTGGGCCCGTGAGCCATGGCCGCTAAGCCTGCACGTCCGGAGCCTGTGCTCCGTAATGGGAGAGGCCACAGCAGTGCAAGGCCCACATACCACAAAAAAAAGAAAAAAAACCACAGTGAGGTATCACCTCACACTGGTCAGAATAGCTATCATCAAAAAATCTAAAACAATAAATGCTGAAGAGGGTGTGGAGAAAAGGGAACCCTCCTGCACTGTTAGTGGGAATGTAAATTCATAAAGCCACCACAGAGAACAGTATGGAGGTTCCTTAAAAACCTAAAAATAGAACTACCCTATGACCCAGCAGTCCCACTACTGGGCATATACCCTGAAAGAACCATAATTCAAAAAGAGTCATGGACCACAATGTTCATTGCAGCTCTATTTACAACAGCCAAGACACGGAAGCAACCTAAGTGTCCACTGACAGATAAATGGATAAAGAAGATGTGGCACATATATACAATGGAATATTACTCAGCCATAAAAAGGAACGAAACTGAGTTATCTGTAGTGAGGTGGATGGACCTAGCTTCTGTCATACAGAGTGAAGTAAGTCAGAAAAAAAAAACAAATACCGTATGCTAACGCACATATGTGGAATCTAAGAAAGCGGTACTGATGAACCAAGTGGCAGGGCTAGAATAAAGATGCAGACGTAGAGAATGGACTTGAGGACACAGTTTGGGAAGGAGAAGCTGGGATGAAGTGAGAGAGTGGCATGGACATATATACAGTACCAAATGTAAAATAGATAGCGAGTGGGAAGCAGTCGCATAGCACAGGGAGATCAGCTCGATGCTTTGTGACCACCTAGGGGGGAGGGATAAGGAGGGTGGGAGGGAAGCTCAAGAGGGAGGGGATATGGGGATATATGTATACATATAGGTGATTCACTTTGTTATAAAGCAGAAACTAACACAACATTGTAAAGCAATTATACGCCAATAAAGAGGTAAAAATAAAATCACATAAAATATGGTCAATTTTAAATATTCTTGAATGATAAACATTTTAAGCAGGTTAAAAATGAATTATTCAATGATTACCTGGAGATGCTCCTCGCCTGTTGTTCTGTTAAGCCAAGCTCTTCACTGGAAACTCCATCTTTTGTTATAAGGTCATTGATAATGTCTGCAATATCAGTCAGTTCACTCATCTGGAGTGGATCTACTGAAACACTTCATTCCCAAATGCAGTATGAGAGATATAAATCAGTATCTACAACTTAATTATATTAAGCAAAAATCAACATGTAAAACTATGCTCTCCAAGAGTATAAATGAACACAAAAAATGATAAACATATAACTAATTTCCTTCTATTGCTTTAATTCCAGTAATCCTCGGTGGAAAAGCCTAATCATCAATAACTGATAACTTCATATGCACTCTCAAAGGAGCAAACATAAGGCCTAGGGGACAACTGGGACAACTAGGACAACAACCTGTCCTGCCTATTGAAATTTAATACATAAGTAGTAAAAGAAAATGTAAAAAATGTAAGCTACTATATTCTAATTACCTATGCTGAACAGTAAGGGATACAATATAACAATCCTCAGTTTCTTAAAACAGGAGGCCCCACCCCGGGGCTGTGGACCATTACCCCGCTACCGGTCCGTGGCCTGTTAGGAACAGGGCCACACAGCAGGGGGTGAGCGCAGTGGGTGAGCAAGAAGCTTCATCTGCCACTTCCCACTGCTCGCATTACTACCTGAACAATACTCATCCCCCAGCCCTGATGTCTGTGGAAAAACTGTCTTCCAAGAAACCGGTCCCTGGTGCCAAAAAGGTTGGGGACTGCTATCTTAAAATACCCCATTCCCAATGGGAATTACACTCCTTTAATCCAAAAAAAATATGTAGTGTAGAAGTTTACATACATATGAACAACAAAATTTCCAGAACACATAATTTATACCTAACCTTAAGTAAAACTGTGAATTAATTCTTAAGATATTTACCTCTCAAATAATTCATCACTGTTATTCACACCTTAAAAAAAAGAAACATTACTATTAATAAAAATTTCAGGTCAGTTATTTTTTCTATTTTCGATTATTAACCTGATCTAGAAATTATATATACAGAAACTGAAATATTTTTAAACCTCCATTTGGTAGTGAATATTGTCCACATTTTAAGAGTATTACTTTTCTATCCAGAGTACTCTGAATAATACATTTTAGGAGGTACAATCTTTCTTTGCTTCATACACAGTTTAGAATACTGGAGTGAGATTTACTAAAAAAACAAAAACCAAAAACTTCTGATGATCTAAAAGGAATACTTTTGGGAAACTATCTAATTTAACTCCAAGAGCCTTTACTTGAAAGAATATGCCCCAAAGAATAATTTTTAAACCTTGTCCAATATTAACAACACGTCTTTAAAGCAAAACACTTGGTCTACTCAATTTTCTGTATGTTTAACCCTCAAAGAGAATTGAGTTAATACAGGGAAGTGTCCTGACATCTCTTGTCAAAAACACTTCCTTGTTAAGATTTTCTTATCCTAAGATAAATCCACCCTGCCTCTAAGACTTAGAACATCCACATTTTTTTTTTTTTTTGGTTTAAGGCCCATGTTCATCATGTCCTTTATTATATCACCCATGCTCATATGTTTTTAATATTAAAACCATTTTGCTTTCTAAAACACATGTTTTGTTTGTTAATCCTCAAATCAAGAATTTTACATTACCTTTGCTCTCAGAGTCTGGTCATTTGCGAGTTCTTCAATAATGCTGTACATATAGGCTAATGAGATCTGACTAAGAAATGAAACATTCCTTTCATCAAAAGGCAGAGAAGTGTTATATTCAAATAACTACTTTTAAAAGTAGTTACATAGGAAGATTCTATCCTTACTTCATTTTCAAACCACTTTTGGAACTTTTTCTTTGGGACAGGCTTCACAATTTACTAAACACAATGGATCAGCTTCATTCCTTGATAGTCACAACTCCTTTTTTTAAAAAATTCCAAACAGTGACACTCAGCCTGATCATCTAATTCACTTATCAGAAACACCTCTGAATAACTTATGGCTGTTAACAAAAATTAAATCCATTCTCAGTGACTAAATTATTTGGCACTGATAAGAACACTCAGAAGAATTTGCTAAGAAGTGAAAGTCAATTTCAAAAGAGTAAATCTGAGCTTTTTGTGAGCACTAGAAGTAAAGGAATGACTGTACATCTTTCCAAGAAGCCAACCTTGGAGAAGAAAACACCCATTAGGGCATCTAAATTCTGCACTTCTCAAAAAATACTAATTAGCTTTCTTTTTTAATTTATAATATTGAATACTAGAGAAAAAACATTTTTATTTATCCATCTTGACATGTGTTAGGACATTTATTGACACTTCTTGTTTTTTCCTCTTGCCTTAGAGTTTAAGAAGCTATTACAATCCTGAATGAATCATCGCCTTAACCTGGTACTCTCAATTTCTCTTTTCCTAGTACTTTCTTGTCTTCTGCCTTTAAAGATAAGAGTTTATATTTATCCCCAACTCAAAATGATCTTTGACTTCATTTCATTTATCTCATTTCTACCTTCATTTTTCTCATTTCCTTTTACTGTCAGAATTCTTAAGTTGCCTATACTTACAGCTTCTTGAGCCTGTCTTCGTCCCCAACCTGCCTTCTTCTACCCTTGATACTACACTGGAAGTCCTCAAGTCCTTAAAAAAAACTCAGTCTTCATTCTTGACTTTCTGGCGGCTTGTGAAACTGTTAGTCACTCACTTTTTCTTGAAAATCCCTTTACCAGAGTCTGCTCATCCATCTCCCTCACTGGAGGTGGGGGGTCCCCTTGCTCTCTAATGGGTGGCATTTCACAGGCTGGTCCTCAGCTTTTCTCCTTTTTCCATCTTTCTTGCAGAAAACTGATGTACTCTCTAAGTCTTAACTATATAATTAGGTAAAAGGCTCTTACATCTGTTTTTTAAGCCTAAAGCTCTCAGCAAGCTCTACTTCCTTGTCAAAAACTAGACCCTAAATATGACATGGCCCTGCACCACCTTAAATGCTACATGTGGTCTGAAGGTGCTCTAGAGTTTGACGTTAAGACCTGGTGATATCCTTGCTCTTAGTCTGACAATGCTAACCAGCCATTCACGTTCTTCCTTTCCAACCACTTAGTCAGTGAGTATCATCAGCTGCCTATTCAGAATGTCTCTTGTTGCTTCTCCTTTCCCACAGCACTGCCCAGGCCCTCATCACTGCACAGGTCAGGTTAATCTAACAGCTCACTAACGGACCTAGGCCTCCACCCTGGTCCTCTTCCTAACCTCCACCGCTGAGAATTTACCAATGATTCCCAAGTACAAAATGGAGTTTAGACTTCTCAGATACAGCTAGAACCCACTAAAGCCTCTTTAACCTCATTTCTCAATTCTCCCCCCACCCATAAGAGGGAAGAGGAAAGATACTGGTAACCAAGAAACTGTAGGAATCAAACAGATTCTCAGCTAATTGCTCTCTATATAGTACCTAATCTTCACAACAACTCTATGAAGTAAAAATGATTATCCCCGGGCTTCCCTGGTGGCGCAGCGGTTGAGAGTCCGCCTGCCAATGCAGGGGACACGGGTTCGTGCCCTGGTCCGGGAGGATCCCGCGTGACGCGGAGCGGCTAGGCCCGTGAGCCATGACCGCTGAGCCTGCGCGTCCGGAGCCTGTGCTCCGCAGCGGGAGAGGCCACAACAGTGAGAGGCCCGCGTACCACAAAAAAAAAAAAAACACAAAAAAAACCAAAAAAAAAATGATTATCCCCGTGTGTTGATGACTGAAATACAAACAGAATCTAGACTGAAGAGAAAAAAATTACAAAGTTTAAACCAGCTTCTTAATAGCTTTTGTTTAAATACAGCAATGTCATTTAAAAATAGCATTTCTTAACTGATTATATTAAGTTAATAATGGTAATAAAACATACTGTAAACATTCAGTAGAATCAGCATTATTGACCATAAATATTTGAGGGCAAAAAAAAAAATTTAAAGCCACTGTTAGTGGTCCAACTGTGATATCTAGTATGCCATGCTATTTATATGACACAAAGTATTTGTTAGGACCAAGGAATAGCATTTTGAATTGCCAGCTCCAAATGAAATGGAATAAACAGTGGCACTGAACTTGTCTAAGGCTCAATATCCTCAACTGTAAAATGGGGATAATAATGGTAGCTACGTCACAGGTCAGGCTTACACCAGGGTCAATGCATGTAAAACAACAATGTCTGGCACATGGCAGAGGCTCAGTAAATTACAGCTATTATTATTGTTTTCAAATCAAAACTCTCATAATTGACAGAGTTGGAATTTCTTAATTTTTATAAAAATCAAATATTATAGTGTTATAGTATAATATACCAGTATAATGGTATAATACTTCAGTTGCTATGTATTTAACATTAATAAGTTACACAGAGATATGACACATGCTTGCAGTGTATCTTATGAAGGTGACGAGATGACGTAGCTCTTCATGTGAATAGCACAATTTTTAACATCCCTTCCCTGAAACATATAAGTATTGCAAAATGGCTTCACGAATCCTTCACAACTATATTCCTAGTAAGTACTCTTCAGTAAGAGTATTGGAAAATAAGAGTAAATGAAAAAAGTTAAGAACGATACCAGGAGAAGTCAAATTCTGGTCACTGCAAAGGCTGACAGCTGAATCGGCAGAAGGGAACACACAGGTTTTCTGACTAGGATGAGTTTCCGTTACTGAAATCTGTTCGTTGTCCCTTTGATCTTCTTTATTCATATGAGTCAGGAAATGCACTATCCATAGTATATATTACAATTAAAAGAAAACAGTAGAAAAAAATCACATGGGAAAGACATAGCACTTGGCTAACACTTCCACATGGCAACAGACACATTAGAAGTTTACAACATATTATTCTGATAGCTTTCTATTTACCCCATAATAAAATAATTTAATACAGTATTTAAAATTTAAACTTCCTCATGGTTAAAAAAAAAACTATTAAAGTTACTATCAACTTCAGATTGAGCTACAGTGGATAGGCCCATGCCCTGTTATAAAACAAAGGAGAAATGCTAAATTAAAAAAACAAAACAAAACAGATTCATACACAACCAAGACCTGTAAATAAAGAAATCTTCTGGTGCCATAAAAGCAAAAGGAATTCAAAGCTGGGCAATAAATGGACAATGATGCTGGCATAGTCCACGGAGGAACAGGAGATGTGGTTTCTGCAGACTGCAGTGAGGGGAACTGAGCTACCTTCCCATGGCTCAGAGTGCTGAAGGACAGTTCTATCCATAAAATCAGGATAAGAGGGCTTCCCTGGTGGCGCAGTGGTTAAGAATCTGCCTGCCAACACAGGGGACATGGGTTCGAGCCCATGGGTCTGGGAAGATCCCACATGCCGTGTGGCAACTAAGCCCATGCGCCACAACTACTGAGCCTGCACTCTAGAGTCTGAGAGCCACAACTACTGAAGCCCATGGGCCTAGAGCCCGTGCTCCGCAACAAGAGAAGCCACTGCAATGAAAAGCCCGCACACCACAACGAAGAGTAGCCCCTGCTATCCGAAACTAGAGAGAAACCCACGCACAGCAACGAAGACCCAACGCAGCCAAAAACAAATAAAATTTTTTTAAAAAATGCAGATAAGAAAAACTCTGCCCTAAAAAAGCAGAAGAAGTTTTCTACCTCTGTGGATAGTGGACGGGAGAAAAATAAAAGTCAACTCTGAGAAACAGAAACCCCTGTCTTGCTACAGGCAAATGTGGGATCTGAATTTATACTATCTACGTAGTACAGCAACTCCAAGCCAAAAAATATATATATATAAACTTGTCCCCATTTTTTTATACTTCAGTAACAGCAAGAAGTAAATATAAAACCACTCCAGGGCTTCCCTGGTGGTGCAGTGGTTGACAGTCCGCCTGCCAATTCAAGGGACACAGGTTCATGCCCCGGTGTGGGAGGATCCCACATGCTGCGGAGTGGCTGGGCCCGTGAGCCATGGCTGCTGAGCCTGCACGTCCGGAGCCTGTGCGGAGCCTGTGCTCCACAATGGGAGAGGCCACAGCAGTGAGAGGCCCACGTACTGCAAAAAAAAAAAAAAAAACTCCAAAGAAAAACATATACAACCTAGCAGAACCACCCCCTGCAAAATAAGCTCATGATAAAAAATTAAAACTCACACAAAGAAACAAGCAACCCTGAGGACAGTATATAGATTTGACAATTGAGAATATGCACACAAGAAATAAAATAATCTGAAAAGGCATAAAATATTACTAAAATAATTAAACTGATGAAAGAAGGTATAGAAACCACAATAAAAGAACAGGACAGAGTACATCCAAAGAACAGATAGTTTTGAAAAAGAAACAAAACTTCTAGACATTAAGAATGTAGTCACCAAAATTAAAATCCTACAGCAAAGAAGACACAGCAGAAGAGAGAATTCGTAAACTAAGAGAGAGAGATCTGAGGAAACATCCTGAGCACACCACTGAGAGATAAAAAGGTGGACATTAAGAAGTGATGAAAAGACAAGAAATAGACTGAGAAGTTCCAACATACCGCTAACAAGTGTTTTAGAAAACAGAACAGAAAGAATGGGGAGGAAGCAATACTCCAAAAGAAACCAGATGAAAATTTCCCAGTGTTAAATCTCTAAATTAAAGAATCATTCCTCCCAGGCTGGTCCCCTGTCCTCCAAAGTCCCCTCCAGGTGGTGTGGGTACTGGGGGCATAGGAGGGAGAGCCGGGGAGATCAGGAGAGGCAGGCGGGAGAGGCCCTCTGGGACCGGAGGAGCAGGAGAGGAGAGGAGGGCGTTTGCCCCACCTACTTGAGGCCAGGCAACCTGCTGGGCTCCCAGGTGAGGTCCCCCACCCTCTGAGACCAGGGGTGGGGGGCACATCTGGGCCCCTTCTGTTCCTGGAGCCTAAGGCCCACCCTCCCACAGCCCCCAGGGCCTTTTCCAGCCCTGTGGGTCCTAAGCATTGGCCCCTCCCACCACCCAAACCTCACCCTTGCTTAGGACCCACCCTCCACAGCCAAGGCCTTTTCCCTGTTTTTTTTTTTTTTTCCTTTTCTTTTCTTTTTCCCTCTTTTCCCTCCTTCTCTTTTTTACTATGGTGGTACTGTTGTACCTTCTGGTTGTTGATTCAACTATATTTTTATTTTTATATTCTTTCTAACATATCTGTTAGTTTCCTAGTCTAATTCTATTTTTTACTTTGTTATTGTTCTCTCATTTTTTTTTTTTTTTTGCCACCACATGTGGCTTGTGGGATCTTGGTTCATGAGCGGGAGGTCAGGCTGAAGCCCCTGCGGTGGGAGCTCCGTGTCAGAACCACTGGACTAACAGAGAACCTCAGAATATTCATTGGAGTGAGGTCTCACGGAGGTCCTCATCTCAGCACCAACACCCAGCTCTACCCAACAGCCTATAAACTCCAGTGTTGGAAGCCTCAGGCCAAACAACCAGTAAGACAGGAACACAATCCTACTTATAAAAAAAAAAAAAATGAGATGGCAAAAAAATATGTCACAGATGAAGGAGCATGGTAAAAACCTACAACACCAAATAAATGAAGAGGAAATAGGCAATCTACCTGTAAAAGAATTCAGAGTAATGATAGTAAAGACGATCCAGAATCTGGAAGTAGAACGGAGGCACGGATTGAGAAAACACAAGAAATGTTTAATAGAGATCTAGAAGATCTAAAGAACAAACACAGATGAACAACATAATAACTGAAATGAAAAACACATTAGAAGGAATCAATAAAAGAATAACTGAGGCAGAACGAATAAGTGAGCTGGAAGACAAAATGGTAGAAATAACTGCCAAGGAGCAGAATAAAGAAAAAAAAATGAAAAGAACTGAAGACACCCTCAGAGACATCTGGGACAACACTAAACGCACCAACATTCTAATTATAGGGGTCCCAGAAGAAGAAGAGAAAAAGAAAGGGTCTGAGAAAACATCTGAAGAGATTATAGTCAAAAACTTCCCTAACATGGGAAAGGAAATAGTCACCCAAGTCCAGGAAGCCCAGAGAGTCCCATACAGCATTAACCCTAGGAAAAACACAACAAGACACACATTACTCAAACTAACAAAAATAAAATTCAAACAAAATATATTAAAAGCAGAAAGGGAAAAACAAAAAATAACATATAAAGGAATCCCCATAAAGTTATCAGCTGATTTTTCAGCAGAAATTCTGCAGGCCAGAAGGGAGTGGCAGGATATACTTAATGTGATGAAAGACAAAAACCTGCAACCAAGATTACTCTACACATTAAGGATCTCATTCAGATTTGAGGGAGAAATCAAAAACTTTTCAGACAAGCAAAACCTAAGAGAATTCAGCACCACAAAACCAGCTTTACAACAAATGCTAAAGAAACTTCTCTAGGCGGGAAACACAAGAGAAGAAAAAGACCCACAAAAACAAACCCAAAACAATTAAGAAAATGGTAACAGGAAGATACACATGGATAATAACCTTGAATGTACATGGATTAAATGCCCCAACCAAAAGACACAGACTGGCTGAATGGATATAAAAACAAAACCCATATGTATGCTGTCTACATGAGACCCACTTCAGACCTAGGGACACCTATGGACTGTGGTGAAGGGATGGAAAAAGATATTCCATACAAATGGAAGTCAAAAGAAAGCTGGAGTAGCAATACTCGTATCCAATAAAATAGACTTTAAAATAAAGACTATTACAAGAGACAAAGAAGGACACTATATAATGATCAAAGGATCAATCCAAGAAGATATAACAATTATAAATGTTTACGCACCCAAAACAGGAGCACCTCACTACATAAGGCAAATGCTAACAACCACGAAATGAAAAATTGACAGTAACACAATAATAGAAGGGGACTTTAACACACCACTTAAACCAATGGACAGATCATCAAAAATAAATAAAAAAGGAAACATAAGCTTTAAGTGACACAAAAGACCAGAGAGATTTAATTGATATTTATAGAACATTCCACCCAAAAGTGGCAGAATACACTTTCTTCTCAAGTGCATGTGGAACATTCTCCAAGACAGACCACACCCTGGGTCACAAATCAAGCCTCGGTAAATTTAAGAAAATTGAAATCATACCAAGCATCTTTTCTGACCACAACGCTATGATATTGCAAATGAATTACAGGAAAAGAACTGTAAAAAACACAAATATATGGAGGCCAAAGAGCACGCTACTAAATAACCATGAGATCACTGAAGAAATCAACGAAGAAATAAAACAATACAAACAAATGGCAATGAAAATACAACGACCCAAAAACCAATGGGAGGCAGCAAAAGCAGTTCCAAGAGGGAAGTTTATAGCAATTCAATCTCACCTCAAGAAACAAGAAAAATCTCAAATGAACAATCTAACCCTACACTTAAAACAACTAGAGAAAGAAGAACAAAGAGAACCCAAAGTCAGTAGAAGGAAATAAATTATAAAAATCAGAGCAGAAATAAATGAAATAGAAACAAAGAAAACAATAGCAAAGATCAATAAAACTATAAGCTGCTTCTTTGAGAAGATAAACAAAATTGATAAACCCTTATCCAGACTCATCAAGAAAAAAAGGGAGAGGATGCAAATCGATAAAATTAGAAATGAAAAAGGAGAAATCACAACAGACAACTCAGAAATACAAAGGAATATAAGAGACTGCCAGAAACAACTGTATGTCAATAAAATGGACAACCACGTAGAAATGGACAAATTCTTGGAAAGCTACAATTTTCCAAGGCTG